CTGGAACCAGTTCTTGCCCCCAAAAATCCAAGACTTTAGTTGGATTGCGATCCATGAAAGGATTTTGACTGTAGATTCACTGCAAAGGAGAGGATTGCAATGCCTTAATAAATGTGCCCTGTGTATGAAGGAGGAGGAAACTAATGCTCCTCTATTCCTCCACTGTGGGGTCGCTAGAACCTTATGGACCTCTGTTTTGGGCTTATTTCAGTGGTCCTGAGTCACCCCAAGCTTTGTTCCCCACCTCTTCCAGGCCTACCTTCATTCGCCCTGGCCTAAGGCAGGTAGAGAACGTTGGAAAGCTGCAGTGGCTGCCATTTTGTGGGTCCTATGGATTGAAAGAAATCACAGGATTTTAAGAGGAGAAAGAGCTTTGACCGCGGCTTTGGCTGATAGAGTAACGACCCTAGTAGCTTTTTGGGCCTCCTATCAGAAGCTGTTCAAAGACTTCTCTGCCACTGACTTTCATAGAAATTGGGCAAACCTCCTTCACGTGGTATGTCCCAAAATCCCACGGGCAGCTGTATGAAGACCACCATAGCCAGGTTGCATCAAAGTAAATTTTGATGGTTGTTCCCTTCGTAATCCTGACCCAACGGGTGTGGGTGGATTGTTCCGATCCACTGAGGGTAATGTTTTGTTAGCCTTTTCCTGCCCCATCGGATTAGCTGATTCTACTCTGGCTGAAGCTCATGCCCTGCTTAAAGGACAGCAAGGCTTTGATGACACTTGGGGCTCCTGCATGGTGGTCGAAGGAGATTCTAAGAATGTTATTTCGTGGACTTCTGGCTTATCTCCCTACCTTTGGCGTCTAGATGATGTCTTTGATGAGATTTCACACCTGTCGCGGGGTATTTCAATCTCTTGGCGCCATGTATTTTGAGAAGCCAACTCAGAAGCAGACTTTTTAGCAAAGGAGGGGGCCCAATCTAACAACTTGGGCGTGCCTTAGCCTTTTGTCATTTTTGGTGGAACCTCTGCCATCTTTTATTCTTGTTTGAACCCTTCAAGGTTGTATTGAGCTCCCCCCTGGGGGGACTCACTTGTCTGTAAAGCTCTATACCATTAATACTAATATAGTTAACTCTTCTAAAAAAAAAAAAAAAAACTTAACCAAGTGACAATACACTCTTGTCATTAGTGACCTCTTGCCAATATACAATTTCCCTTAGGCCGTTTGGATCCCTTGAAAAAGATTACTAGGAAATGGTTTTTATAGGGAAATTGTTTATTTCTGCCATTTGGATCCAAAACTAGGGACAGAAATTTTTCTGGCAAAAATCGTTTTCTCTATTTTGAGCCCCATTATTTTCACGACTTCACCCTAAAAATTATTTTTCCTCACTAGTTTTCCATCAAGGAGCCAAAACCCTACTCACCTAAATCTCTCTCTCTCTCTCTCTCTCTCTCTCTCTCTCACACACACACACACACACACTCTACACATACACATACACACACATCAGGCATAGGCACCATACACCACCCATTCACACCCAATGGCCAAAACCACTCTCTCCTCATCCAATAATCTTTCTCTAGCTAAAGCTACCAGTTTCGCTGGCGGTTTTCAAGGTGTTTCAATTTCAGCTGGTATTCAAGGTGGTTTTGGAGGTACCAATACCAGCACTCGTGCCCCACCAGGTTTCAAAGCCTTATGCCATCACTCATGCAATCAAGGTTGTTTCAGAGGTACAAGCCCTATACTATAACCTAAGCCACGCCCCCTCATTGACCCATTTGGCATTACAAGCTCATGGGTTGGCACCAATTTTGGCAAATACGAAAGGGTTTTCTGCATATTGCCATTAGGGGGCCCTTTCAAGCTTGTAATTGCATGGTCCCTGATTTCTCTCTACAGGTTCACAGGCACAATCCCTGACTAAGAGATTTTCTCTCTGAGCTAGATTTGACCAACAACAGAATTGCAGGGCCCTTCCTGATGCAAATTGCATTGAAAACATTCGAGATGTTAGTTGATTATAATTCTTTATTTTATTCTTGTATAGAGAACTTTCAGGGGGTTTTGGACTTATTTAATTTATTTGTGACGGTTAATTTTGAGGAACTAATAGCATAGAAGGGTTAAATTGGAATTTTAGTAAATGTTGTGGATAGGGTAGTCCATCCCTTGTTATTAGGATTAGCATGAGATTTTCTTAGGTTTAGAATAAGGTTTATTCAGACTCAGGCTATAGATTACAGAATTTTTGCCCAAGTAGTGAAGTTGAATATTATTGGAACAATTTCTTTCTTTGGCTGCAAATAAATCTTGGTCTAGCGTCAACCATATGTGAAAAATACTTTCTTGCATGGAGACCTTCATGAGGAAGTTTAGGGCCATGCCTCCAAGTTTTTAGCTTTAGGGGGAGACAAGCAAGGTATGCAAATTGAAAAAGCCAATATATGGACTTAATCAGTCACCAAGAGCCTGGTTTAAGAAATTCAGTGAAGCCTTGCTAAGAATCGGGTTTAAAAGGAGTCAGGCTGATTATACACTGTTTGTGAGGAAAAATGGAGTTGGGATTCAGCACTCATAGTGTACGTTGATCATGTTGTAGTAATAGGGAATACTAGTTAATATTGAAGATCTTAAATGCTATCTCAGAAAAATATTTGACATAAAGGATTTAAGTTCACTAAAATATTTTCTGGGTATTGAAGTGGCAAGATCAAATAAGGGAATGGCAATCAGTTAAAGGAACTACGCGGTGGAATTTGTTAAACAAACTGGAATGTTGGGGGGTCAAACCAATGGATGCACCGATCAAAACCAATCATAGACGTGATGAACAGATAGGAGAGTTACTAAAGGATCCCAGCCAATATCAGGGGCTCGTGGGCCAGCTTATATATCTTACAATTACACGACCAGATATTTCTTATGTTGTTTGTGTAGTCAATGAATTTATGCATGCCCCTTGAAAACCTCATTTAGATGTTGTCTATCATATTCTAAGGTATCTTAAGTCATCTCCTGGTAGAGGATTGTTGTTTATAAACCGTGGTCATATGGGTGTTGCAATTTATACTGATGCAGATTGGGCTTGCTCACAAACTGATAGAAGGTCAACTACAGGCTATTGTACCTTTGTTGGTGGGAATCAGGTTTTCGTGGAAGAGTTGAAAAACAAAATGTGGTAGCCAGAACAAGGGCGGAACTGGAATACAATGCTATGGCATATGGAACATGTGAAGTTATGTGGTGGAAACTATATTGGTTGGTTTGGGAGTTATAGTTTGATTACCAATGACCATTTATTGTGACAATGAAGCAGCCATTCACATTGCTAAGAATCCTGTATTTCTTTTTTTTGGAGAGAAGAGAGTTTTTTCTATTTTTTTGAGAGAAGCTAAGAATCCTGTATTTCATGAGTGCATGAAGCGTATTGAGCTAGATTGTCATTTCATAAGGGAAAGATTGAAGCCAAAATTATTTATACTAGTGTGAGATCGAGAGATCAGTTAGCAAAGCTGTTGCCCTTGATAAACTAGAAGAAATAGCTGCTAGGATGGGCATGATTGATATCTATGATCCGGAGTCCAGCCTGAGGGGGGGGGTTTGTAGAAAGTACAACTGCAAGTTAGGGATAAGAATGGAATAGTTTAATCCACAAGGTTAAGTGTGAGTTTTGTAATTTTTTCTCCTTAATCAATATTATAAAACATTTGGCTGACACATAGAGGGGGCCACATCTCTCTCTCTCTCT